CTTCTACTATATATGTATAACCTTATTTCTCTTTCCCCTCTTGAAAAGGCATGAGTGTGTGTCAGTTGTTCTGTGTCCGTAAGATCATCGTGAGGTGAATGTTGTGGGGTCTTTGAACGCAGCCTTCTCTTCTGGTAAGTTTTAGGCCCAGATCGGGGGGGGGTGTTTGTTTCCGTTTACTTAGGAGGCCTGTAGGCGATCTTTCTGCTCTTCAGCACAGACCACCTGTGTCTCTTCATGTAGTAGAGCAGAGGGACGATGATGGCTGAGCCCAACAGCAACTGAAAGAAGCAGAAATATTTTCAGGTTGTTTTTGTTCCATTGTGTCTCAGACTAGTCTAAAAAAAACAAAAAATACTTCGTCAACACATAACGTTGAATAAAATGAGAAATCATTTAGATCACGTGTCTGATGCCGTACCTTCAATCCCATGCGTTTGCGTTGGTCGTGCTCCGGCTCGGCAGCCCACCTCAAGAAGGTGCATACATCCTTAGCAACCTGGCTCATGGTGGCAGGGGTTCCTATGGCAACAGACACCAGACAACCATCAACCTCATCGTTTCTTCTATCACAGTATTTTTACAGACCACTATCAAATCATATCTGGACTGATTGATCACAGGGCAAACTACTTCAGATGGTCTGATGTGCTTCTACTCAATGTTTTCAATATGTCACCGTACCATCATCATATTCCAGGATCTCGTTGTAGATGGGTGGGGCCATGCCGATGGCCTGGCCGGGGAAGTAGGGGTTGTAGTAGAGTCCCTCTCTCACAGCAACTCCAGCTGGAGGCTCACAGTATCCTGTCAGCAGGCTGAACACGTAGTCCTCTCCTCCATGTCTGAGCGGAGCAGAGAGACAGACGATCATCAAGGATGTGACATTAAACTGTTTTGACTTAAAGCAACAATAAGTTAAATTTGACTCCAGCGTTGGACGTGAAATTTCCTGAGACTGTGTTCAAACCCCTTTGAAAATGTAATTCTAAGCTAGTTGCAGATTGAGTCGGGCTTCTGTTACCTAGCATTGACAATGTAGCTGAGGTCTGGAGGCAGGGCTCCGTTGTTGGCAGCCCGAGCCGCCTCAGGGTTGGAGTAGGGCTTAGGGAAGTAGTCTGATGGCTTTCCTTGCCGAGTGAACATCTCTCCGCTCTCATCAGGACCGTCCACTACCTCAACCTGGAAGCAACACACAGGACATTTTTAAAACCAACAACCTAGAAATGTAAGAGCAGATAAAGCCAGGTGTCGCCACCTACTGCCAGAACTTTGTCTCTACATCTAATAACATTAAAATATGTCTACTATTCCATTCAAAGACTGTGTTTGATGATCCACTTGAAGCGGCTCCACCCTGAATGCTCCAATTCGTATGCTAACGTACAAACACTCACCTCCTCAGCGATGACCTTGACCTCGGCCTCTGTGTGCGACACTCCGACCAGGTTTCTGAAGGCCAGGTACTCCATACTGTGGCAGGCCGAACACACCTGCTTATACACCTGGTAACCACGACGAATACTGTGGTCGCAGAAAGAGACAGAAAGAATATGGAGAAGCAGTTAAAATACAGTTAGTGATTTTGTTTGTCTGTACCGAGAACTAAGGAGTGTGAGTGTCCATCCATCCTACCTGGCGTGGTCCAGAGAGGACAGAGGTCCAGCGTGGCTCCAGGGGTACTGAGGAGGGTGGAGCTCCAGGTCAGATGCTTTGACGGCCTGGTGCAGCATCAGAGCGAGCCCTGCCCCGCCAGCCGTGACCACACCCAGCGTTGTAAGGGCGACCTTCTTGTTCCTCGGCAGGCTGGCGAAGGACATGTTGGCCTGGATGAAATGAAAAGCTTATTAATTGTCGATTCAAGTAAAAACCTAATAACCTAAAACCTAACGTGGGATGTTTTTCACAGACTTCTTAAAGTTCAACGCCAAAACTTAAAGAACGTGGACTTTAAGAGTTCTGGCCAACGACTAATAATTATTTATATCATTCATTATTTTCTGCTGATTCATCCTGCTTGTCCGACCAACAGTCTGAGACCAGAGAGATTCTGATGAATAGAACACAAGTAAAAGAAAAGCAGACAGATGCCAAACTTCAGAGGCTGAAAGTAGAAATGGTTCAATATTTTTTTGCTTTAAAATAAAATACTTGACTAAAAGAATCAGCCCATTCAGCTATTGAAGGTGTGCTGACGTCTCTTGAGTTTTCCACATGACAAACAAAGAGTTCAAATAAGGACACAGCTTTAGTGTCTAAATAACCATTAAAGGAATCAGGTAACTACAATGCCCTTGAACATAGCATGTGCTCGTGGCGCGCACGCTGGGCGTCCTTATGAAACTGCCTTTCACTGGTGCTTCTGTAACCAGCAGCAGAAGTAGCACGACAGCATCCCTGCACCAGTGCTCAAACACACACACACACATTCTTCTATCTCTAGCCTGTGATCACGCTGCTACCAATCTATATGTTTACATGAGTTCAGTTAGTGATTATATATATGATTAGAAGTTTAATCAACGTGTGACCATAGAACAGATAAAGGCAACAGATCAGCGACTGCACACCAACAACCATGAGCGATGTGTCACTCAAACAAGAGCTTCCATTTGCTTGCTTGCACCTGAATGTTACGTCTGACTCTGAGAAACTGACTGTTCATACATTTATGAGAGGTCTCCCATCACCTTCTTTCCCAGGAGGTTCAGGTATTGACAGAGATTTTTGGGATGATGTCATAATAACAAAAACAGGGGTCAATCTGAACAGGAAGATTCTGATCAACCAAAACAAACCAAGAAGCTCAGACCCGGACGGGACTTTGATTTCCACGGTAAAGAAAATGCATAACGAGTAACGATGTGATATCTGGATATGAAAGGTTATTTGGATGTGAAATCACCTATTGGGACAAGACATTTTGTGCTATAAATCCAGATTTACTTGGCAGTGATTGGCTGGTAATGCATTAGATTTGATCATTTTAAACAAAGAAAGTGATTTGTTTGCACTAGGACTTAATTATTTTTCTTCTTATGAGCATAGGATTTACAGGGAGCTCTGAGAGTCTTCTGCAAAATGATTACTTTTACTTCATGATACTTCATACACCACAGTCTCTAGAGTATATTGCTTTGGGAGAAACTTGCACTTATAGTTTTTAATTGTACCGTAGCTTCTTTTAGATCAGTGCAAGTATCAGAGAACAACATCTGGCCCCAACAAACACTCTCCAGAGCAGCGAGGACGCGTCAGATCGCTCTCAGGATGTAAACTAACTTCACGGACAAAGGAAACATCAGTGGACACGACTGAACGGGCTCCTCTTCACCGGAAGTCCTCTCAGTCCTTGAAATGCTAACACGCTTAGCAAGCGGATTAGCTCGGCTACACGTTCCTTTACTTCTACTGAGCGTTGTTTATAATAGATGGACATTTTTTATAAACACCGCGGTCACACTCTCCGGTGTGAGCGCGTGTAACCGTGAATCATCGGCTGACGTAGAAGGTTCACTTCACCGGAAAAGACCATTAGCCGGCTACTTGACACCGAGGAACGAGTTTAGCTCAGCGGCTAGCTTGTTACTCACAGCGGGTAACACCGGGTTGTAAACGACCGTGAAGGTTGTGTTGTGTGGATTCTAATCTCCGAATCCTCCTGCTCCGCATGAGAACAATGTTATGTCTCAGGAAATGTCCCCAGAACCACCACGGACATCCCGAATATCAGTGGACACACGAGTGACCTTGTCTCACCCCGCTGACAGAGACCAGGCTAACGTTAGCTCGATGCTAAGGACGCCCCCCCCCCCACCGCGGCTGCGTTACTCTTCTAACAAAACACAATCTGCTCTGTGCGGGACACAGAGACAGACCTCCGCCGTCTCACCTTGGACGTCTTGATGGCTCTCGGCGAACCGAGCAGGGCTCTCCCGCTCCCCGATAGCACCGCGACTCGTAGGGCCGCCATCTTGTCTGCGGATCTGAGAGGAGTCGCGAGGAGCCGACAGGAGCCGGAGACACGAGGCTTCCGGGCGCGTTCCTTCAAAATAAAAACAGCCACGTGTTAAGCGAACTAACTTTTTATTTCCACGCGACGTCCCGGCTGCCACTGACACAATAAAACACCCCCTCTCTCCTCATTGTTATTCTTATTCTTATTCTTATTGTTATTACTATCCAGTATGTCAAACTGCGAAAGCAGTGTCAGTGGTGTTATGAGGTTTAAATGTATTGTTTAAGTTAAAGCAGCAATATCAAAATATGAAATATGCTGCAAGCAAATGTCCCGGATTACATTTATAAAAAAAAAATCAAAATTACAGTTCAAAATGATGATTATTATTATTATTATTATTGAAGCGTCAAGTCTGCTCTCATTGTGAAGACAGTCTCCACCTTCCGGAACTACTTGAGCTAATTGTGTCTGTCTTGCAGTGAATCTTACACAACCTGGATTTACACAAGTGTTATTGTGTTGATTTCGTAACACGTTCCCAGATCAACTAATTAACGAGTTCATTAAGTGTGTGACGTGTCAGTGATGTGAGGGTGATGCTGTGACAAACGTTCCAGATGAGAAGTTTCATGAGGCTTCATGACATTTGACCCAGATTGTGAAGCTCCACAGTTTCATGATTTAAAATGCTGCCCCCGTGTGTCAGGTCTATTTGAAGCTCGTTCTTTAAACAAGAGCACGAGGACGAGTGGACTTATCATCAGACCTTGACCTGAAGAGAAACTTTATTTTAACACAGAACACATGACATCACAAACAGACCCAACCCACATCTGAGGATGTTATAACACGAGTTCTACAGAAGGTGGAAGCACAGCATCAAAAAATAAAACTGAGAGGTAACACTCACGAGCAATTTATTAGGAACACCTGTACGACTGCATCAAATGTGATGTCAGTCACTCTGAGTGTTGATGTCAGCAGAAACTCCCTGTGGATGACGAAGGAGAGATTCTTATTTTCTGTTTTGGTCTTTTCTAACCTGAATTTTGTGCTTAATCTTTGTTATCCAGTGTAAAACAAAAAAAAGGGGTAAACGCTAAACATCCTCCTGTTGTACACTGAGGTTAAATTAACCCAGATGTCGCCAATTTGAGTTTATGACTTAATTTGGAGCCAGAGTCGGTGCAGTCGTGATAGTGATCGAGGTCCTGCCGCTACAAGCTTTATAACTTTATAGTTTGGTTCCATGTCCCAGCTACAAACATGGAGGAGATGGGGTTTACGAACACGCTAACATTATAGACGGAATAGATCAGACTCGAAAATATATTTTCTAGTGGCCATTATTTGTAATACAACTTAAGGACAATCCAAAAAGAAGCCAAATTGTATCACAGGAACAAAACCGATTATTTAATACATCCCCTAATGTGAAGATAAATGCCGGACAGCAAATGAAAAGAAAGATGTTGCATGTAACGTGAGCAGCTCGTGCTGATAAAAGTAGGAATTGAAGACATAAAATGAAACAAAAAATACTCAAAAGTATTTTCAAAAACTTTCAAACAGATGTAGAACCGTCACAAGTTCAAATCCACTGGAGACACGAGCAGAAAACTACAATCAAAATACTGAAATATTAAGATGGATAAAAACACTGCGCTCGTTTGAATGAGTTGAAGTTGGACTGTAGTGAAAGTGCAGATGGATGTTTCCTGTTTGACAGCAGGTAGGTGATAAACTATTTATCAGCCCCAGTGGTGGTGACTGTCATTCCTGTCATGTTAGCTTGACAGGAGGTCTTTTCTGTGGACGTGCTGTGCATACGACAACTGCAGCTTCAGTGAGTGACAACTGCTGTGACCTTGAATAAAAGAGTGAAACATGCAAAACAACTAACTTTACTTTTCTGTCCTGAAAAGGTTTGTTTTTCATACAAGGCCGCAGCTCGTGAATCCAAGTAGGAATGAATGCCGTCTGTTTCAGGTCTTCATTTTCTAGTTCTGTCCATCTTTTCCATTGACTGTTTACATCTGCACTTCCTCCCACGGTCCACTAATGAAGCTAATTAATGAAGCTAATACGAAATCTACCATTTGGAGAAGGTGTCTGAGCAGCAGCGATCGGGGGATGGATCCACGGTAGCGAGGTCCCGTCGATAAACACGTTCAACCAGTCGTTACTCAAGGTACATTCTTAACAGATTACAGTCTACATACCATCAGCTCTGTTTCACCAGCGACTTTACCTCAATGATATGGTTAAACCCATGAATCAACTTTCATTCTAACAATTAGACTTCTGACTTCTGGGCTTCACTCTCAAAAATTACAGACCTGTTTCAAAACTCTCGTTCTTATGCGAGATCCTTGAAAAAGCTGCACCTGACAGACAATAACTTATTTCAAACATTGAAATCTGGATAAAAAACCCAAATCCACATCAGTGTTGTGATGTTGAAACCTAAAAACATCAGTTGTGTTCTGTGAGGCCGGAGTCCTGACAGACCAAAGTTTTCAATCAGCATGAAAATTGTTCCGTCTGTGCTAAGAGATGAGATGTGTACTTAGAATGTGAAGAGATGAGCAATCAAACAGCTCAAGTAAGTGATGTATTTGCACATTTGAACGGTTTTAGGCTTTGTCTGAAGTTTCTCTTCATCATTCAAATCCTCTCTGAGAATTGTTCCATCACATTGTGTGTGTGTGTGTGTGTGTAACAATAACTGAATACACTCTCCATGATGGAGTCGTGAAGACAGAGGTTTTTTTATTGTCAATGTGGAACAGATTCACACGCTGGTGAGCAGAGCTGACAGCCGACGTAATTGTCTCCGATTTTCTTTAATGGCTGCCGTGGACATGCTATGTAATTATAGACATGTCGGCTGTCGTGAAGATTACAGGCTGCACACGAGTCTCAGTGTGTCGTGTGTGTGTGTGTGTCTGTGACAGTGAGTGTAAGTGAAGACGCCTGTGTGTTCATCATGTGCTCTTCACTCGTGTCGTGTCAGATGCTGAAGTCCCAGCGAGCGGCTCCTTGACAGACAAATGCTGCGACATCTGATGCATTAATTATCCTGATGTGTGCAGATGAAGAGGCTGCAGTGGTGGCGTCTGAAAAGAGAAGTGACGTCTCTCTGCATATGTTGGTTTTTCAGCCACAAAGGTGCAGAGTTTTGTCCCAGATGTCCTCACTGGGGACAGAATAAGAGTCAGAATAAGTAGGTTTGCACAGATTGATTTTCAAAGAGACAATTCTTCATTAAAATGTGTCATAACAACTTATATATTTTACCTTTGTCTTAGATTATCCAAAAGGTTTCCAACAATTTTCAAACCTAGACAAATCCACTATGTTAGTCAATATAACGAGATGTTTTATTTCCTTTGAATTGCGTCACATCCTCTGTCCTAGTGGCTCTGTCCGTCTCTGTAAAAGGAAAAACACGCTGACGAGCCATTTAGCCAATCGACTGTTTCTCTTTCCAGTATTTCTTTTGTATGATGGTTTCGAGATTTACTCCCAGTAAAGTGCAAATTCCCAGCAGAACCCAGCGGCTCTAATGTCCATAAAACACCTCACTGTCCACAGACTGTCCAACGCTGCAGCTCGTCTCCTGTCTCTTCAAGGCCCGCCTCCTGATAAGGCCCAGTTTGTTCTGATTGGCCAGCTGGAACACTCTGGCTGTATTAGGGGCGGTATCGGATGAGCTGCTGATATAATAACATCATATTAAATGCAGTGTTGAAGCAAAATTCATATTTTTAAAACCAGTGTTTGTTTAGTCAACTTCTTCACCTGATTGGCCTTTTAACTCAATATTATAATCACAAAACACAACACACATCATATGTCTCCTTTATGATTCCTTGGAGAAAAATCCTATTTAAATAAAGTTTATTTGGAATTGTTTTCTTGAATATTGAACTCCATGTTGAAATGTAATAGAAATCTGATTATTTGATGACACAGTGATGTTTATCTCTTAAACATTAATGCCTGCGTCTGTTTGTTTCTGCTGTCACAAGCATAAAAAGCTACTTCAAAATAACGTATATACATGTAGAGCACGTGATCAGATACGAGCACCCGATGCACCGCTTCCCTCTGAGGTCTCACGAAGTCACTTCCACTGAATCCTCTGTGACGTCCTTCTGCTTGAAGTTGTGTTTATGTTGAGAGCCTGTGATCTGAGTCTGACATCATGAAGCAGCATTAGTGGATCATTAAACTGATGCATTATATCTTATGCATCATTTTCTTTGTGCTTCATATCTTTCAAGTTGTTTCTACAGTGAATCTCGTCTCTTAAAAGCCTTTTTTAAACTGCTCTTGAGCTCAGTCTTTATTTTTCAATGATCTCTCTTTGCTCAGCCTTGGATGTTCGACTCTCAAATTTACAAAACGATGAATAAAGCACATTAATTATCCTCCTGCAGAACAGCCATTTACATTCTGATACACATTGCAATCCTTCAACGTTTGAGAAATAAGAAAAAGGACAGACTTCACGACTTCACTCCGATAAGTCCATGAGCCTCGTACCATATGATGTTGGCTGTCAATCAGACAGTATCCACGCCCCAATACGTTCATTACATCATGCTGTATTGAAGAAGACATGAAACTACAGATTGAGACATAAACTACAGCAGAAAATGTTTATACATGTATACACATACATACATTTATACATAATTTTCTCGTAGACGTACACAGAAACCGATTCGATTTCATTGCCTTAACTCTCCAGTCTGTGCACGTGCATCAAATATAAAGGCAGAGTCAACCTTCTTAATCTCACTCCGTCAATCTCCTTTCATAATAGTGCGATAGAAACAATACGTTTTCCAGAAAACACACAGCACATGCACAACTGCACACACGTGAAAGATTGTTAAGTGCACACACAAACATCCCTGTGACCTTAGACTGCAGAGTTACACAACCTTCATAGTTGAGCAGCTCGCCCTGATCAATACATTGATGAGTGATGCAAACTGTGGTCCACACAGCCTCCTTGAAACTAATGAACTGGTCATTGTGCATTCGTGACCTTGATGTATTCTTCATTCAGTCCA